ATTCCTGGCAAATCAGTGTCTCAACATTAAGAGATTCGATCAGGAAGTGCTTGTAGCTTGCCATGGATGTTACTGCATGAACAATGCCCTAAAAGATTATCCCAAGAATAAGCAAAACAACTCCTGCCTTAAGAAATTCAGATAAAAAGGAAGTTCAGATACATGTTTTTTCTTAGGTGCAAGGCCAACATCCAGGTATTTGCAGAATATGCAGTTAAGTTGATCTAAATGGCATCCACTCAAGCTCTTCACTTCGAACAGCTGAAACTAGACAAATGTTTGCTAAAGAAAGTACAAGATCTATGAGCATGCAAGCACCACCGCTGCATTCTGAGCTTGTCCCACCCTCATCTTCCAGCACACTTGTTATGGCTGCACCAGCCAGATGACACCTATGTTTGCACAGGTTACTCATACTTCACCTTTCTCTGCTACCAAATGCATTTCACAGAATTAACACACCTCTGAGTAGAAAGAGAAAAATACCAAGAAAGGATATCCTTCTCACTTGTTAGTTTTCAACTGCACCTGATAAGTCATTGTTTTCCAGCACGCTAATCTTTTTTCCACCTAACCATATCCTATTTTTTCACCTTTTTTTCTGGTGGGTTTCTGGTTTTGGAGGGTTTCAAAACCAGTGTTAAAACAGCAGCTTTACTGTAACCTCAGCTACAGTTTCATTCTTTTTTCCCAAGATGAGATTTCCAACTTCTCAGTATAAACCTCATTCTCCTCTGCATCTGTTAACAGACTCCACAATGGTACTATTTCTGCACTATTGTCTACAGTGAGTAGAAGGTAACTCCTACACTAAATATTTATTTAATTGAGAGTATGCATGAGTTATGCTTCTCTTATCCTTCTGAAGCCATATATGTGAGCATGTGTCATGTGTAAACATCTGTTACCCATGGCATCATTCCCATATTCATTACCTTAAGTAGGCTTAATATTTCTGAGAACAGGAAATCATTTCCTCCATTTTTCTCTCCTCTCAGCCCATTAGGTCCTGGCTACCTCCTGCAAAGACTCAGGAAAATGAAAAATGAACCTGAGTTCAGAAGTGATATATGAAGTATGCCCTTCTTAAATCTGATTTACTTCTTCTGCGGTTCTGAAATACCCCTTGAAATGAGGAAAAAAGTTCAGATTAAACTGGTCTTCAATTGCCCAAAAAGCTATCAACTCTGCTGTATTGTAACTGCAAATGAAAAACATCGCTGACAAATGACTTGCTTGCAAACAGTGCTTTCTCCCAGAAGTCTGTCAGCTAAGAGAATCCTTGGAAACAATGTTCCCATGGTCATGGACGTTTGCTTCCCTGGCATTCAGATAACATTCTACAAGCACAGCAACATGCTGAACAAAAAAAATGATTCCCCTCAAGCTCCAATTTACTGTTCAAGCCCTGGAAATACATTGGTGCTATGCACAAAGGCTGAACTGAAAGTAATGTCTCCTATTTCATTATGTTGTCCCACAATGTCAGAGGTGGATGTTGCTGGTATGGCAGTAAAGGCTGAACCTTCCTGCTATGCTGAAAAATAGGTTTTTGTAGCTGAAAATATCCACTATCAAATAGTGTTGTTGAATTCTTTGTAGCTGGTGTGGTTTCCATGGAAATAAGTAGAAGGCATTACTTTTGGAGCAACCTACATATAATTCCTATATTATTTCCATCTCCACATTATATTAAAAAAGAGAGAGAGAGACATTCATACCTTGGATTGCTTTCCTGTCTGCTGCAGATACATTGCCACTTCTACTGTTTGTGGGGCTGTACAGATGAAGGGTATCCTTTCCAGTGGAGAGACACTAAGTTGAGCAGTTTTCAGATCACAATTTAACCCAGTGCATAATTCAAACACTCCGAAAAGTCTTCCTTATAATAAAAAGATGCAGTGAAGAGAAATTTCTCACGCACACACAAAACTATAATTTATCTGGAAGTAAGACTTGGAGCAACTGAAACTAGAACAACAAGAGATGCCCTTGAAAATTTAAATATTTCAGACATGCATTTAAGTGAAGAGGCAAAGGCAGTTTCTTTAATAAAGAAAATGCTTATTTAAGGAGATTCCTGTTAACACACTTCTGTGGAACATAGTAAAAATGACAGTGGAATCTTGTTTCATCTCTGAGATCTGTTTACATTCCTAAGTGATACAAAAAGCCTTCCCGGGGAAATGTTACAGTGAAAATAAAAAGGCGCAGATTAGAGTAAATGAACTATGAAGAAACTCCAGCACAGGCTGATTCAGCAAGCTAAATCAGCTCCTGTGCAATTAAGTTCTGCTCTGAAGCTACGCTTCAGCGCATGGGGAGAAACAAAAAAAAACACAGCAACCCCAGTCAGAACTGAGCCAGTTGGTCACATACAGGACATCCTAAAATAAAGGTTTAAACAGCTTTTTCCTACTGCAAAGTCCAAAGGCTGCTCTGAACAGAAGGCTTCATTGGTATACATCTTATGTATACACACACGTTCATTGGCATACATTGTATGTATTTGTGTGTATCTGGTTGTGGTTCTTCTACATAAATGGATAGGAAAAATGCTCTAAAGATTAAAAAGAATGTGTGTGTACCAGCTACCATGAATACACCTTTTATTACCTGCCTTGGACTCAGCCACGCTGTTCTTTAAGGTTTACTCTTCCAGCCATTCTTATTTATTCTGCTTCTTTATGCTGCTTCTGTTTGCAAGCTCTGGGACAACACACAGGGATGAAAATCCCCGCTATCAAGAAAGTTTGATAAAAAGGCAGAGTTAAGTGTAGACAAGGAAGTAGCAATAAAGAACTGAGAAAACAGTGTGCACAATCCTACACCACAGATGACTTCAGCTCTCACTCAACTAGCAGGTTCCCTTTTTCCCTGCTCTAAAAAGCTGAATGTCTTACTAATAGAGTTAATCATCAGATTTGAAATGCACATTTCCCTTGATAGGGAGGGTTTGGAGCAAAAAGCACTGTGTGTGTAATAGCAACATGTTTTGTAGATACTCAAACGAGTAGATGACTGCAACTTCACACTGCAAAGGGTTTAATAAGATCCTTCATACCCTCCGTCTTTCCACTGTAGAAAAAGAGCACCAACACAAAAAGGGCTTTTCACATAGAATTTTAATTGAATTATGATTCCTCCAACCTGAAAGACCTTAAGATTTCAACTACCATGAAGTCAGAACACATTGACAAGTAGCTCTTCAGAGCAGAGGTAGTTCCAAAGGCAGCTTAGGAGTATTAACATATTGATTCCAGAACGTGTTACAGTACACTGATATTGCCTAGAAAGCATAACTGTACCTCCAACCCTTACAAAGCATATTCCTCAAAACTTACTCAGATCTCTGAGCAGCTGTCATTGCAACTCACCCTCCAGAAATCCACCAGAATCACTTAGACATGGACCCCTGCATCTAGTTGCATTTGGGAGATAACTTGGTTCAGAAATGCAAAGAGCCAAAAGCTAAATTAGCCATTAGTGTTACCTTTTACACGAAGAAAGTTGGAGGAACAAGGGGAAGGAAAGACAGTATGGAGCATGTGCTTTGAGACAACACAGCTTTCCTGATCACATGCTTGATGAATAAGGGTTCATTATGATCACCTGTCCCAGTCTCCCCACCTGTGCACAGCCCATAAGATTTCCCCATACTACCTACTGTCAAAAAAAAAAAATCTTCAAACTACTGATGCTTTTCTAAAAAGTTTTGTTTTCAAATGATGGGGGG